ATTATTAGCAGGAGAATATTTAATTTATTTTTTTAAGATATTATTCCTTTTTCAGATAAATTATAAAATTTATGGATATTTTTAATAATTTATTCTATATTTAATATCATTATTTGTTTCACTAAAAAAATAAAACTCACTTTACAAAAATTTACAAAAATATTAATTTAAAAGTTATTGTTCGAGAAACACTCGAATTAATATATATATATATATATATATTAATTTTTTTAATTATTTTAGTGTAAAAAAAATATTTAAATTATAATATTTTTGAACCAATTTCAAATCATTTGAACCTCAATTAACTAAAATTTTATCTATTTATAACAAAAAGTTACTAGGGATACATCCCTATAGACGAGAGTAAAAATATTGGAATTTTATCTATTTATAACAAAAAGTTATTCGGGAAGTATCCCTCTCGAGACGAAAGTAGAAATATTGGGAATCAATGAAGAAGAGCACGTTAGATGCAAGAAGCATAAGACACTCTAATGTCGGGTCACCTTTCACGGAGAGACTGATGGAGCGAACCTCACATGGAAAAATGAAAAAAATAAAAATAAAAATAAAAGCCATTTTTTTTAAGGAAAAAAATAAAATAAAATGATAATAAATAAATAAATAAATAAATAAAAGAAAAGTAGTTTTCAGAGGGACATGATTTAGCAACTGCTCCCACATCGTGACCACTCACCTTTTTTTCAGGATAAACTTGGGGACCTTTTATTCCCTCCCTCCCTATTTTTTTAGTATTTAATAAATTAAAAATTATAAAATATAACTGATTTATCATATATAAAATTTAATTTTAAATTTAATTTTGTCTCTAATAAATTTATGATTTTTTAAAAATATTATTTAGAGATTATATTTATAATTTTTTAAAATATTTTATTTTAATTTGTGTTTAATAAGTATTTAATAATTTAAAATTTATTATTTATTGAGTATAAAATTAAATTTTAATATCCAATATAATTCTAAAATTTTAATTTACGATTAAATTTGTAAAATTAATTAAATATAAATCTGGAAGTAGAAAATAGTTTAGATATAGGTAGAGATAGTCGAGATTTTCCTTTTATAATATATATATATATATATATATATATATATATTGGTATTTATTATTACACCCATTTTTTAGCCATTTCTTAATTTTTTTTTATTTCCCTATCATGATATTGGTGGGCCATATTGGGCCTGAAGCCCAAAGCCCACACCCTTTTAAATTTATAGAGCACACGTAATAATCATTGTTTTTTTAGAAAATGTTAATTATTGATTTTTTAGATTTATATTCTTTATCTTATTTGCAAATTTTAATTTAAATTTATTTTTTTGGAGATGATATTTAATAACTTCTATAAATTTTGTTTCTTTTTTTTTTTTAATTTATTTTTTTTATTTACATTAACTACTAATGGAAACGTACAAGTTTTTTTTTAATAAATATACTTTTAACGAAAATAATTAAAATTTAAATTTATGTCCCTAATTTTGAGGTCATATATTATTTTTATTATTTGTATATATCCTTAAACTTTGAGGGTAGATTGGTCTTTTACTTGATTTACTTTTTTAAAAATGGTTTATCTTGTAATTCTATGAATTAAAATATGAATTGAATGAATTTACACACTTGGGCCCAAATTAGAGAACTTTAAATCGGCCCATTAGCCCAAACCCGCGGGCCCAAAGTTAAAAAACGAAACTCGGCAGTTATGCACGTGACTTAATCGAATACGTGTTACAACATCATTCGTCCGTGACACAACTTCCCTCACAACCGGCTCAACATTCAAAACCTAGAACCAACGTGCGGCGGGATTTCCATCCGCAAATTACAGCCGTCCAATTTTTTCTCAGCAAAATTACCGGCTTGAATGGTTATAAAGCCTGCAATCAGGTTTCCTTCTTCTCAATTGAAAAGCCCTAGCCCTAATTTCAGCGCCGTCTCTATTTTTGCTCTCATGGTGCTTCGATTTTCTTTCGACTGCTTTGTTTCTCAATTTGTTCTTCTTCCTTTCGTTTCGTTTGTGAGATCTTCTAGCTTTGAACAGAGTGAGTGAGCAGGTTTTTTTTTGCGATTTCTGCAAATGATTGTGAGATCGAATTCGGAAGAGTGCACATGACGAATTTTCGAATGGTAGAATGCTCTGGTCTTTGAACTTGGAGCATTGTGATTAACCTCTTTGTATAGGAAGATCTGATGCCTCTTCAAATCAAATTCGTCTAGTTTTTATTAATTTTCTTCTCGATCTTATCGATTTGAACTTTCTGTTTTCCATGAACGTGTTTCTGGTAATGGACTTTCTTCTTCTGGATGATGAGAAAATATCAAATATACAGTTATCCCTGGCTGATTCACAGTGCTGATATTTTCAACTCTGACAGTGTTTGATTTCTGGAATCATCGTTTTCGGTTTTTAATTGATCGTTTGGTGTATTGTTTTTCTCATCTCTTAGGTGTAACCAGTGATGAAGGTTTTTTTGGTTGACTGAGATGCAAAACTATAATATTTGCATTGATGTTGATAATTTTTTGAACTAGGACGGTCTGAGGCTTACACCTTTCTACACCTTTCTGCTTTTCGTTCTAATTAGTCTACAAATCTGAGTTATCAATTTCCATCAAATCTTTATTTTTCAAACGGAAAGAATGATTTTCAAGGAATAATGAAGTTTTTGACGTTATGTTTTAGTAATGTGGGTGATGAGAACATGAAAATATCAGTTATCCCTGTCTGATGCTTTGATGCTGATGATTCATGATCTGACACATTGGACATTGTAATTTCCATTAGGTTTGAATCGTTCTTATCTTTTGTGTTCATAGAGATCATGTTCTGCATTCTACTTTTAATTTGATTAAATTGAAAGTACTGTTTTGATCCTTGAATGAACCAATGTTCCGATGGGTTAAGTTAATGAGAATGACAGTAAGCGAATTCCTTAGTGGATTGAGCTTCATTGAAGGATATGCATATGCAACAGATAGAATTTGAAAGATGATACAGACGACAGACTACCAAATGATGACCGCCATATTCTAATGCTCCAAGAACAACCCTGAACATAATAAACACAATCCTTTACAGAGAAGGGCTTAAACAACCATTCATTTCTTCAAAAGTAGGATGGAATTGCATTGCCATGGCTCTTAGAAACTTGGATCTCCTACAAATTTGCTGAATCTTGGAGCGGTTCTGAACCATATTAAGCTGAATAAGATAGAGATAGCTACCTAAACCCATTTTTGGATGTTAGGCTACCCTTTATTATTTTCTGCAAATGGAAGGAAAATCTTGGTTTGACATTTCCTTTCATGTTCCTACTCTTTGGGATAGTCCACGATTCTGCAAGTGACTATTTGATGGTGATGTAACGATTTGTTCCATGTTTTGCCCAGTGATTCTTAAGATCAACTGGTGCAGATAGGTCATGGCCTTCAGCTGTAAGGCGGCTGAGCAGCTTGTTGAAAGCGCTTCCGCTCATCTTTCGGCCACCGACTCTGGCGTGGCGTTTGTTGGGAACTGCTGGTAATGGATACATTGACACAGTGGTTGTACAACAAGCAGATTGCCATCCACCGTTTCCCCATTTGTAGCATTGTCTTATAACTCCTGTGCAGGAGCATATTGGAGCTGGCATGGTTGATTCATCAAAGGCTACCTGGTTCAACCCCAGATCCTGCCCTTTCCAATCCGACTTCGACACGACCAGATGCTTGTTAAGATCATCGCCGCCACTCACTATACCAATCCCATCCTTCCATTCTTGTGACTTGCCCAGCCTTATCTTATTCAAGTCTTCAGCTTCTCTTTTGACCTTCCTTGGAGCTTTAGAAACCTTCTTGTTTGGTGCTGTAACTGTCTTATTATCCTCTTTCGTTCGCTTGTTCCGCCGCGCCTTTGTCGATTCTGAAGCAACTTGGGATGATACAGGGCAAGCATCATTGGCATGCAATTCTCTCGAATTGTAGTTACTTTCATTCATGTGAGGCACATGATGATGTGTATGCTGCTGCTGCTGCTGTTGCTGCTGGGGATGGTGTATATGCTTCACTCCCCTTGCGATTTGGCATCCTGGTGGACATGATAAATTGTTGTTTGTGAGGGAGTTTTCACGATACTGAAGAGTTGCAATGGCATTGTCTCTTTCCAATAGAGCATTGTTCCTCTCCGCAATTGCAGCATCTCGCTGTAGATAAGCCATGTCCCGTTCTGCTATTGCAGCCTTCTTCTCAGAGAGGGCCAAGTTTCTCTCTTGAATGGCTGCATCTCTCTCGGCCATTATTGCCATTATCTGCTTCATTGATGGCTGATGCTGCATCATCCACTGCCAACATAAATTCAAACAAATTCAATCCAACTGGTCTCTACCCAATTGTTACAGCTTGAAAGATTTGTTCATCTTGATTACCTGACCCTGAGCTGACTTATACTGCTCTGCTTTGTGCCTTCCATTCTCCCGATGCCCGCTATCATCCATTTATGACTCCAAAACTAATAACCAACACCACAGTAATAATAAAAGCTCCACTGCAAGCAAAATAGCCACCAATATGTTACCTAACTACAACACAAAACCAAGGAAAAGAATGCCATCTAAAGCACTTTCCGTGTAAAATATTCCCAATTTGTTGCATATCAAAAGAGATACATTTGTTTGTAAGAAAAATGTATCTATCATTAGTGGATTCATCCTTGATTCTTCATTTGTTTCTTCTATTATTCAATATAAATACCATGTGGGGGAAACAGACTCAAGTAAGTGCAAGAACTAGGATTATTGTGCCTATCATGATCCATTTTTTGATTAAACGGATCAAAGGTCTTAAAGGGGTAAGATCTCCCTGTCAGTTTTATTGAGGACTACCCGCATGGGCAAAGGCTACTAACAATAGGATGGGTAGCGCACACTTTAGACCGACGTGTATTACAGATCACTTGTTTGAAGTTGTCTGGGCTTGTCCAAGTAAATGGATGCAGCACGGGATAAGATAGACCTACATAGAAAGATCAAGAATGAAGTGTAGGCCAGTTGAAGATTCTAATGGTTGTCCACATATGTTTTCGTTTTTATCGTTGGAAATCGTTCCTTCTTTCTAAAAGAATCATTCGGTATTATAAAGATCCAAACTCTAACCTCACATGGCTTAATCTAAGCAGACAACAATTTCAGACAGAATTACAAGCCAAATAACCCATTATAGATCCTAAGAAAATTGATCAAGAAAGTGATGGCCAATACAAAACATTGCACTAACTGATGCCTTATAATCCCTCCCTATACATTTAGACCAGCTGGTTCATTGACCTCTAATTCCTTGAAGAAAGCACCAAAACTTTCGACCAAACAAAGAATGATCACGAAAGGACAAGACATTGACCAACTTAACAAATATAGGTCACAAAAAAGCTTATCCAATAAAGGGATTTGGCAAGAGAACACAAAAGGTAAGATCTAAAAACGCCTCATTGAAACTCAGTTCTAAAGAAATGGATTTGAGCTGCATGAACAATCAAAGTTCAGTGTGGTAGATAGATACTTCACCTGGAATTAGAAGACCAAGCAAGCATTCGTTTGGGAGATCATCATCGTTACAACTTTTGGCCCCCAGCCAGCCCTAATGGCTGACCCACCTTCCTCATCTTGTGCTCCATCAGATCATCTGGATAATACAATTCAACATAAATTACATACTCAAAAACAACTAAAAACCAACAATGTTTCGGTGATTTTTTTCTCTTCTCTCCATTTCCAGTACCAAATTCAGTTCGTACAGAAAAAACGATCGAGTCAAAGTAGCTGCAAACAAAAAAAAAAAAGTATGTTCATCGGATTCAACAAGTTCAAATCATCTGGAAAATAGAGCAAAAGGTCTAAAGATTAAAAAGAAAGCAAAAACCATAAAGATCCGATTCTTTACTACAACCAGAAAAGTAAGCGAGACTCAACTTTTCCGCGCCGAGTTCTGAACTTAAAGCAAAAACTTCAACTCAAAAAGAAAAAGAAAACACATCCACAACAAATTCCGAAACCCTAGAAAGAAAAAAAAAACCACGAAATCGATACAGGAAGCTTCGGCTCGACATCGAATGATCAAAACAACGCTAAATCGAAGCAGATTTCAGAGAAATCGAAGCGAGAAAAAGCAGGAGGAAGCTAGAACAACAAAGAAGCGATGAATTAAAGGAGTAGAGAGCGTAAAAATGGAAGTGAAGAACCAAAATAGCAGGTGATTGAGAAAACTACAAAAGCAAAAGAAATCAAAGCGCTGGAGAAATCGAAGCTTACCAGTGAGCAGGAAGGAGGAAGAAGAAGGAAGAAGAAAACTCGGAGAGTGATTACAAGGGAAGAGAAGGAGATGGAGAAATCAGAAAAGGATTGAAAATTTGTGGAAAGAACAGTTGTAAGCAGAGCAGAGGGACAAAGGAATCTCTCCCTCTCTCTCTCTCTTCATTTTCCCTTAGCTTTTTGTCATATACACATTTTTTTTAGGGTTTAAATTTTTAGATTCTAATTTGGGTTTAATACGTCTCAAAAAAATTTAATTTTTTTAATTAATTAATTTAATAGATATAAATATTATGAGTATTCATATGATCCGATAATTGGACCAACTCAGACTATTCCGTTGGGTTGGATTGGGTTAATAGATATATCTATATGATCTCTTTGATGTTTGTTATCTATGTTAGTGATGCGTTGTGACCTGTGAATCTTTGATATTTGAGCTTCAAGATATTTTAATTATTGATATATCATGTACCATGGATAACTGTAATTTTTTTAAACTTGACAAGCTAACCCGAAAATAGAAGGTCGGGTTGAGTTAAGTTGTGAACTTTGTTCGGGTTATTCAGGTCACCAACCCAACTAACCCAAAATGTCGAGTTGATCTAAACAAAATTCAACCCAACATATACTCTTAATAAAGCTAACCCGAAGAGTAAAGTAATACATTTTATTTAAAGATAAATATTTGAAACTTAATATATATATATATATATATATATATATATATATATTTATTGTACTTGGCCATGTGATTTTTCCATTGTTGTTTTTTTTTTTAATAAATATTTGTTGCCTTTAAATTCAACAATTAAATTAAAGCTAAAAATAATAATTAAAAAAAAATCCCCCTTTAAACGTGACATTATGCTGATTAATACCCTTTATGACACGACGTCGTTTTACATGTCAA